GATCAAAATGACTTTAAGATCCCTTCTTTTCTACGATCAACAGCAATAAGTATATACACATAAGAGTAAACATGGATTTTTCAATAATAAAATCATAAATGTTCAATGAGCAACAAATATGCAATGAATGTGATCAACCACTGATCCAAATTCTTTTGTTTGAACTTTCACAGTATTTTTATTTTATCATGATGCAGAAGCACATGAAAATCATAGTAATAGAAAAACAGAGGTTTTTTTATTTGCGAATAGAAGACTGGCGACTCCTATGAGCAGAGGTGCAGAATCTGCCGTGATTTCGAAAAATTTCCCCCCACGACAGTTCATTTCCCCCAGCCATTTCCCCAAAATGTCGCTAGAAATCAACAAATTTTCCCCCCACAGAGTCGGCGCAGACGGGTACATTCTGCACCCCTGCCTATGAGGTCCTATCAGTACCTAATCCAAAAGGAGAGGAGAAGAAATGAGGAAGAAAAAAAATGATATGTTGTCATAGGGATTAAAAGACGTTTCTTTCTTCTAATTAATAGCAGATGCACTTCTCACCGGTGACATCTATTTGGGTGAATCCGTGGGGTTTCTACCACTTTTGTGGAAAAAATGTTTTTTTTCGCTTTGAATAGTCTAGTTAGATGTATCATAGTCGAAAACGGTCTGACGCAAGAACTAAAACCTTTTTGGACATATAAAGTGTGAAGAATCAAATCATTTTTTCGGAACACTCCACACATATATAGAGTGTCCTATAATAAATTGTTAATCATATTTTTCATACTTTTTGTTGGCATAGAGAGCTGAAATTTTTATCACATCTATATCTAATCAAGATCTTTTACTTCTAAAATTTTCAGTTCTCTAGCTAAAACTAATGGTGAAATACATTGACAAGACTGAAATACATGAAGTTTCGTACTTGATTTTTGCATATTTTTACCGTTAAATTATTGGAAAAATTGAGTGCAAACTTGATGTATTTCACCATTAGTTTTAGCTAGAGAACTGAAAATTTCAGAAATAAAAGATCTTGATTAAATCCACATGTGATAAAAATTTTAGCTCTCTATGCCAACAAAAACTATGAAAAATATGGTAAACAATTTATCGTCAGTTATTATGGATTGCCCTTTATTGGTGTGGAGTGTTCCTAAACAACAATGTGGTATTCCACACTTTATATGTCCAAAAAGGTTTTAATTGTTGTCTTAGACCGTTTTCGACTATGATACATCTAACTAGACTATTCAAAAAGAAAAGAAACCTTTCTTTCAGAACATTGGCACAGAATACCCTTCTTCCACAAAGTGGTAGAAACCCCATGGATTCATCCATTTCTATTTTTTTCCCTAAGAATCAATCGAAAAGATTTTAATTTATTCTATATTATACCAGACAAGGAACAACTCTGGTACATTCTTTTTACTAGCAAAAATACTTTTTGTTAACAGACACCACTGAGAAGATAGTTCCCCAAGTAACGAAAGGGATCAGGTTAAACTAATGGATAGCCTTCTCACGTTATAGCCCGTTTTTGGTTGTACATTTGACTGGAGTTCACTCAGTTTTATGCATTAATAAATGAAAATCGTTCATATTTCTGCTGTGTTTTAAAAATACTTTTTTAATGTTCACCAGATACCAATTTATTATTAGAAAAAAAATTTAAAACATTAAATTTAGACACAACTGACGAGCAAATGAGCAATAAAAACATGCATTGAAAACTAAAAAATACAATAATAAAAAATATAATACAGCGACGCGATAAAAAAGTATTAAAATAAAAAATCAATCGATGTATTCATTTAATGGTTGTGAAAAATTTCCTAGTCATCCCATGTAGCAAACTCAAATGTAGATGAAAAAAATGGGATCTCTTCACAAAAATTCATCCAATAAAATACTTTGGACCGAAAATATAGCCAAAGTGCATCAATCACTTTCAAATCTGCTATTAAAAATATAAGTCATTGAGGTCTGACAATATACCAAAAAGAAAGAAAACGAAGAGATACAAGATAGATGATGACGAATAACGAAATCAATTGACAATTTACGATGTAAAGAGAACTTAGACATATAAAGCCAAAATAAATAAATAAGTTCTGCTAACTTTGTTACAGGAATAGACTAATGAGAGAGAAACAGAAGGATAAAATTTAATAGGCACCAACAAAATTATGGTGAATAAAAAGACGAGAGCCATTGTGTGTGACAAGAAAGCCTCAGAATGTTTCAGAGAATTCTTTCAACGATGTTGGATCAGACAAATTAAATTCAGGTATAGAATGTTGCGCTGAAATATCAGCACCAGAGACCATCACAGGGCAGTTTTTTCTTCTCTACCTTGCCATGAGGACAGAGCGGGGCTTATGAATTGAGCTTGAATTATAAAAGACCTAACAATTCGATAAAAACTTTGTGATTATATTCAAATCAAGTATTCACATTTGGTTTGTGTACTTTCGAGAAAATGCTACAATTAGTCTAGATGTCTCTAAAAGATAATTAAGCATTAGCAAAAAAAAAACAATGAAGAGTTTCCTCAAGAAATGAAATCATCGTAAAAAAAGATAATTTTTCCAAAGCCTTCAGATCACAATAAAAAAAAACGTATAGATCATAGCAAATAGAGATCATAGCAAAATAAAATATGAATCACAAAAAATGATCTATAGATCACAACAAAACGAACTATATATCATATTAAAAGAAACCACATATCACAACAAAAATAAACAATATATTACAACAAAAACAAATTATATATTACAACAAGAAAGATGATTACATTCTTTTTAATGGTCGTATTAAAAGAATATTTTCAACTTGTTTCTGATTGATATTGGTTCGTCTTTGATTAATTATCAAATCAGCACTTGAAAACTGACGTTCGACATTACATGATGTCGCAGGTATTTGTAACAACTTCGTTTTGCCAGAGTTGCCATGTAACGACAGACTGGATTGAGTAGTTGACCTCTACCCTCGGTAATGATCTTTATTGAGCTATTTCATATAGTCAGAATGTTACTACTTCACATAAAACACACGCTTATATAGGAGAGAGCAAGAGAGATGGAGAGATGAACACAAGAAAGAACAATAGAATGAGATGAATATATGAAAAGGCAATAGAGATAATATCAAGAGGAAAGAAGAAAGGAAGATCAGCGGAGGGGTTATATCAATATCGGCAAGGTATTGAATAAATTCGTTTGGCTAATTTACAAAATACGGGAAATCGTTTTGTATGACTCCTCCAAAAATCCACTGGATTATTTGTTAATGATGATTTATCAATTTGCATAATTAAATACTGATCTAATTCGTCGAATTGATTCGTATTATATTCATATTCATCGCTCTCATATTCACATGCCACACCATTGTCTTGTAGAGTATTATGTGAATAATCATCTTCAGAACATGTAAATAATGTATCAGCTGTTCTGAATTTTTTTGTTGTGATTCAGGTGAAGGTTCACATGGTTTTGGTGATAAATGTATATCACGTAGAATCTTTGATTGTTGACGAGCATATTTACAGTAATGACCACAATTATAAGAAAATCTATTTCATTTCGATTATTTACTTACTTTCGACCACTGAACAAGTTTATGCTCTGAAAAACATATGCGGCTATATGTGTTCAAGTATGCTCTATCTGAATATGAAGTCAGACTTTTTGAATGTAACTGTGATGTTCGAGAAAACAAATGTTTTCTAAAACTCTTTGATTTTTGCCTGGCCACAATTATAAGAACATAATTACAATTTCGGTTTTTCATATAAAAACAACATCTGTTTGGTTCGAAAGTTACAAAGATAGATAAAAGAGTCAGTTCTAAACATTTAAAAAAAAAACAGTTTTAAAAAGTAACTGAGACTAAAATTTATAACTAGGCTTTATTGATCAAACTAAATCAAGCGAAAATGGCTTGAAAAGGGTGTGGGTGTGGGTGTGGGTGTGGGTGGGTGTGGGTGCGATTCTCCCCATTACGCATATCTACACCCATGCTCACACCCACACTCACACCCACATCCACCCACACTCACACCCACATCCACCCACACCCACACCCACCCATACCCACACCCACCCATACCCACACCCTAGCTGCTAATTTTGAAGAAATAGGATTTGATTTATTTTCAAATAAATTTTTTTCCAAAAATCGAATATTTTCAGTGCGAGGCTATTTTTCAACTGTATCAAGAGAATATTCCTTTTTCACTTATTCAATTTCCACTTTGGGAATTATTTAAAGTTTGTTTTTTTTTTGTTTATTTAAAAAACAAACTACTAAAAGGAATATTTAAGTTCTAAACAAGGCTATTCTCTATCGTCCATAACAAGGGACTATGGGCAGATGTTTAGTTGGTAGTATAGCAACATCTATAACAAGGACATATGGTTTATTATCATTTTGTTTTGTTTTTTTTTTTATCTTATAAAAAATCTAATAAATTTAATATTAAGATATTGCTAAGACTCGAATAATTCTTGCTCATGTAAATATTCAAAATATTGTATATTTATTGATTTATTTTATTTTTATTTTTGATTAGCATTGAGATGTTGATGGAGTTTCTCATTCTTTGAAAATTATTAAAAATGTTCTTAAACAAGAAGGTTTTACATCGTTTGTTTTGGTTTTTGTTTTTTGTCAAGAAAAAAATTGATTTACTCAATTTAGTTTTTATACAGTTAGTGTTATTCATCGTACAATATTGATATAAATAGAAGGTTTTGTTTATTTTGGTGCTTTTCAATTAGTTAGATCATTGTTTTTGTTTTTCTAGAAAAATTTAATATTGATTTGTTTTCTTGTATAATATAAGAGTGAAATTGTATCGTTATTCATTAAAAAACAGACTAAGAAAGTAATAATCATGTTTGTAATTGGAGTCTTAGGAAAAAAAATATTGTGCTTTGGAAAAATCTTCTTATCAATGATGAAGAAAAGCTAGAAAAGATTATTTAGAAATACTTGCCTCAATGTGGATAACAACTGAGTTTAATCAATTTCAAAAGGAATTATTTCGTATTTTAATACCAATTATAATTCTAGTTGGTAATATTGGATCTATTCTTAATGTTATTGTTTTCTCAGTTAGTAAAAAACTTCGATCAAGTCCATAATCACTTTATTTAAGATTTGCTTCAATTGGTTTTGCACTTTATTTAAATATAGTAACTTTATTAAGACTTCTTCAAATTGGTTTTAATATTGACTCATCATCAACATGGTCATGGATTTGTAAATTAAGATTTTTTGCTGTTGGATTTTTATTAATGTTACCTCGATCATATATTTTATTAGCTGCTATTGATAGAGAAATATTATAGCTAGTTATTGTTTTATTCAAATAAAACTATTTATGAAAATAATATTTTAGATATATAATGAGTATATCAAATCAACATCGTTTTTTATCTCGTTCTATTGCAATAAAAATGATATTGTTAACATGTTTATTTTGGATGATTGTATGTATTCATAATATAATTTATTATGATATACAAATATCATTAAATGGAACAAATCATATTGGTTCAAATCCATCAGGTACATATTCAATATTAATAAATGGTCTTTCAATGCCATTATTAATGACTATATTTGGTTTATTAACAGTTCGAAATTTAAAACGTTACCATAATCAAATTCATAATAGTCTTACGATTATATTAGAACGAAGAAAAAAATAAGAATGGTTTATACTTCGAATGATAATTATACAATTAATTGTTAATGTTCTATTATCATTACCAATAACATTTTATTTATTTTATAGTGGTTTAATACAATATATTCAAAAATCATCGTTTAGAATATTTTTGGAAAATTATATTTATAATATGTTAATTATTTTACAATATTTAAATGCAGCTGTAATTTATTTATTTTTTTAACTAATTGAATGAATTTCTTTTGTTTGTATTTTGTTTTAGGCATCATTTTATGTGTACTCATTAACTTCTCATATATTTCATAAAGAATTAAATTATCTTATTTTTTATTATATAAATAAACTAAAACAATCTTTCATTAATTATTCAACAGCATTATTTACTCATATGACTCTTACTTTCATAACATAGTTAAATAATTTACTTATATTTATTTGACACCAAATAAGAAATAACCTATCCTTTTTATTTGAAATCTTCTTATAATTGTAAAATGTCTCTATAGAACAAATAAATGTTATATCTTCTATTGAATATCAAACCATTTCATTAACAATTTATTGCAAAACTTTCGTTGTTTTTCTGTTTTTAATAAAAAATTGACGGATTCTAATAAAATTTTTTGCTTTTTTGATTAGTTTTATTCAGATAATATTAATAATCATTAAACACAAGATATTGGATAACTGTTTTATTTTAATAATCATCATATATTAAACTTTCATATAAACAAATCAATAAAAATATCATTAAATAAAACATGCCTTAGGTATTTTTCTCTTGGAAAAAAAACAATAGGAGAATTGTACCACTGGTTATCTATATTGATAAAATGAGTAAATTTCAAATATCATCATTCAGTCATATAACATACAACGCTGATGTTTTCTTATATTTATTGGCAACTATTTCATTACTTTCATTTTAGTTAATTCAATTTTTCCTATGTTTATTTAGCAATTTTTTAAAACTGTAGACACGAACTTGACGGTTATTTTAATAAATAGTTCAAGGGAAGAATCAATGTTGATATATAGACATTCATCGAACCCGAACGGTTCGGATTTGATGCATGCCTATTTATATAACAATTTAGTCGGTTTTTTTAATATTCAAAATTGAACAGGAACCATTTTAAACTAAATTTATTCATGGATTAAATTTTAGTCTAATCATTTGTGATAATTCTTAAGAATATTTTAATTATACTATTTAATAATGAATATTCACAATAAATTGGCCTCGAGTTTTTCTACATGGAGAAATAACAGAATATAAGCAGGAGCGTTCCCTAGTTGAACATCTTGTAAACAAGATCTTAAAAAGATATTTTGGATGCATATATCTTAGCCGTATCAAATAAGTCTATAATCAAGATCTGTTCAAAGATTGTTACAAGACAAGATCTTGACTAGAACAAAAAGCGATACCATTAATTTATAAACTTATTTTAATATTGTTTAATTCTTTGTAACTACGCTGCAAAACTCAATCATATAAACTTTTTAGTCTGATTCATGTCTAAGAAATTGAGCCATTGCAGGAGCACCTGCAAACCAATAGAATAAAACCTTTGAAAGACAAAAAGGGAAGAAAAGATTATTCAACAGAAAATTTCATATAGTAACAACGTTTTTAGATTAATCTAGTATGAATTCAAGAAATTATTTAAGAGATTTTTATTAAAAAAATATACAATAAAAGACATTTGAATTTTAATCAAATATTATACTTAGATAATTCCTTTAATTTCTTTCTTTCTATAGTAACTTTTCTAAAACATAGTAGAAATAAAAAATGTTAAATTTATTTTATTTCCAGAACTTTTTAAATATTGTTATTTAAACCACGGAATGAATATTTCGTATATATATATATATCAAGACGAATGATGTTGAATCATCATTAAAAAGAAAAAATTGATTTTCTAAAACGATTCAAATCCTATATTCATAAAAGTAGAAGATATCAGTTTTTCCACACTGCAACTCTTTTTTATTTGAATTTGCATAAATAAACATATTGGTTTAGTACATGAATCATAATTGAATGTCATTATGCATAATCATTATTTCATGAATTAAATTGACGATTAGCTGACGTAAGTGAGGCTCGAGCAAAATAATAAACCTTTGAAAAAAGAAATTGTTTTAATATATTTATCAAGATTTTTTTTCGAAGAATATACTTTGTCAACTTCAAGTAATCAATGAAACTTATCACATTCAGTATTAAATGCTGTTACACAAATTTCATCAGATTGATTAACAAGGTCACAGCTAAATAATTTTCCTGAACTACACGTATTTTGATAATTTCGTATTTGACTTTTATTGTCCATCGAAAGATTTTTGTTTTGTTTTTTTTCGTAATGAAAAATTTGTTGAAAAATATTCAAAACAAACTTGTTCACATATAGCTTTAGTATATCAATAGTGTTGCTTCCTTTTGAGACACCCGATTATTATCATCATTGAAGTTTTTAGCATTAATTCAATCATCTAATGTTGGTAATGCTTTAGAACCTTGTCGAATAACATTTGTAGCTGAAGATGCTAAAAAAAACCAAAGCATAGTTTTGATAAATCAAAATAAAAATAGCTCAAGCAGGTATAGGCAAGAGGATTCCGATCTCAATCATGTTTACCATGACTTAAAAAATTCAGTAAAACTGTAATAACCTGGGACGGACAGCGCATCGATTCGATTGAAGAGTTTTACTTCTGGATGTTTTCTCGTAAGTTCAATGAAGTCAGATAATGTTTCAATGATGGTACTTGAGTAGAATTCTTTAACTGGGATAGTATTTTAACATGATAGGGAGATGATGAAATGAAAGAAGATATAAGTTAAGTGAAATAAAATAGAAGCTGGCGTTATTCCTTTCTGCTCAACGATATGTAACTGAAATAAAACGATGCAGCTACTATTCATAATCTCCTTTTGATTGTCAATAGCTACTCTTCATATCTGCGGTTGCTGTAGTTGTTGATGTTTGATTATTATCTGTTGATTGAAAAATTTCTAAAAATTTTACCTATACAATTTGCATTTCCACCATTATTAATAATATCCGTTAATAGTCATGCAACTGGATCACCAATTCGTTCACTATTACTTTGAAGTACTTCAAGTTTATAACACATAAGCATAACTCCATATAAAGTAAGATTCTTTACCGTCAACTGTATTTATCAATTGCATTAACTATAACACGATCAATTGGAACAATTGAATTTTCTTTTAAAGAATTATTTGTTATCAAAATTCAAATATATGTAATATTTCTTACATGAAAAATATACTGTTCCTATCTGATAACATAAGACGATAACGTTTAGTAGTTGTTGATGGATCATCCGTTTTACTACCCTTTAAAAAAAGACTGAAAAAGTCGTTGGTTCAACATATTAAATTAATCTGGAATAAATACAACATGCATTATTATTATTATTACATTACAACGAAAAATTTTTTTAAAATTATTGAAAACAAAAACAAAAAAAAGACTAAAATTCATTATGAATATTTTCAATTAAACGACGACCATATTCACTGAAATCAATGTCACTGATTGACATGCACGATATTTTAACTGTAGTAACATCCTTAAGAGAAAAAGAAAATTATAATAACAGATGGCACATAAAGAATGATCGGTTTTTTTATTTTTTTTTATCAATTTCTAAACTTGACCAAAGTCTTTATGAACAAGATCATTTTTAATGGTGAACGATTAAAATTCTATCTACTAACGAAATATATTTCTTCATTAGAATGTGTTTATGTTGTAAGTGAATAAAAGAAAGCAGGCAAACAAAAGAGCATAGACCAAAAGGTTAAGTATGCAAAGAAAATTATGCTGTGGTCATATGTATCTCAATATTATCTGACGTCTTCAATTGTAGTTAAACCTAGTAAAATGTTATCGTATGAAAATTATCATGACGTTATTCTTGCACATACGCAATCTTACGACCATTGCTCTGGTCGGTCTCCATTTGATGATTTAATGTTTTCAGGTAGAACACTATTGTCAATAAAATAGAATGGAATAAAGTTGAAAACTAAGATTATTATTATTATTATCTATAAAGTTCTTCATGATATATCTCATGACATATTGTATTTCCGAATAAAACTTACTAAGTGATAAAGAGAAAAATACAAAAAACCGATCATTCATTATGAACAATCCTTTATATAGAATAAATTTCATATTTACATTAAATGTTTCTTGATTAATACGTAGACGAAAGTATTTTTCACGAAATGTATTTTTATTTAAATACGTTTGCATAAGTATTTCATCGTCCTAAAAAAAAAAGAAAAGAAAATTCTACAGTGAACAAATCATTATAAGTCATAGCTGTGAAAAATCTCTTTTCTTTGAAAAAGGAACAGTGAACGAGATCCTAATCTAAGAGTTTTCTCGCGTACATTTTGTATTGCTCTCTCAATCCTTATATTATTCATTTAAATGACTTACATTTTCTTTTGCTTGAGCGAATTGTTCAGCTGTTATATTATCCATAAGTTCTTGTGCTTGTTGTCGAAAGAATGAAACCCATATTGCACCAGTTGAATCAACAAGTTCAGCCTAAATAAATTTCAATATGTTTCTATTTTAATCATATGTTTAATAAAATTTACAC